AATCGAAGCCGGCAGGGGTATCAAATCTGCAGCTTTTGCAGAACGCTGAATGCAGAATGCAGAACGCCAAATAACTCTGAAGTTTAGTGATTAGGGTTAGGAAACTGAGTGGATCAGGTTCCATTTAGAATCATTATACCGGGAAAATTGACCTGAAACTTGATTCACTCAGATTCCTATCCCCAATCACCAAACTTCAGAGTCATTTGGCGTTTAGTACGTCTGCTACACAGCTGTTTTAGTGTCGTCACGCAACGCTCCTCCCCACAAACGAGGTGGGGAGGAGCATGGCGTGACGACTCTAAAAACGGCTGTGTAGCAGACTATTTGGCGTTCTACATTCAGCGTTCTGCGAAATACCCCTGCCGAATCGAAGCTGCACCGCCGGATCGTGACATATCGATCACAGGGCTCCCAGACTCACAACAACCTCCTTGAAGCCAATAATATTGAAAGGATGTCTATGGTAATTTATCATGAGTTCGATAAAACGGTAAAAATGCACATAAACAGCCATTAAAGTGTACATTTTGTGGTTCAATTTTTATCTTTTGTTTCAATTTTATTTCATGTGGGTTTTGGATATGGTAATGTATGATAATGAGTTTGAAACAAAGAAATATGAAGTTTAAACCACGGATAAAACTGAACCACAACATACATACCTCGCAGTAAGATGTCTTTGTGTCGTTCCTTGCTGTTTTCCTGCCCTCAAAAGCCATTTTAGCAAGTTTCCCAGAATTAAGGTCTGGTCTCTCACCTATGAAGAAGAAGAAGGTCTTGACCCTCCTCAAAACGTCAGCCCCCAAAAATATGACCCTCCTTTGAGAGACGATTTTGCGAACTCATCATGTCAGTATTATAACAAACGCACCCAAATTTGTGACCCTCCCACCGTGGATCCAAATCTTAATCCTCTCCCTAAATTTATCCGTCCTTCCCTCTCCAGTATTTAATGACCACTTCCTAACAAGCCGAGGTTGGCCGGGAAGGTACATTTTCACTCAGGGTCAGGCAATAAAATCCGAAACAAAGAGCGTACGAAGTCAGAAAATTAATAAATACGTTGTAGAAGATTTTAATGGTGTTGAACCTGTAAGACTTTATGTTCCTTATGCACACTAGATATAGAAAAGCGTATATTGTAAAACTTAAGTGTTATTTAAATCATAAACGTCTTCATAATAGAACCCATGAAAATAATAGCTTCAAACCTGAGAAAAGAAACACCTTTTGACCTAGTTTCTAGACCTTTTTTCTTTAGAAATAGGGAGGAAGTCTGCCCATTCAGTCTTTTGTTTTCTATCGCCCGATCCTTGACCCTTTTTTAAGGTGCTGGATAGACGAGAGAGGAGGGGTCAGTAGCAAAAAAAAAACTCCTTGTTTGGGTGTCAATGACGAAAGTACTAATTGAGGACACTTTTTATACGTTTTCTATACACTAATGGGGACGGGACCGCCATTTTACGTAGCCTGTTTCAGGCGTTCCGGTAGCGTGGGGACGGCGCAAAGGGAAGTTAGCTGGAAAAACAGCAGGGGTTCATGTTTTTGAGTGTCAATGTATTTAGCACGAAAGTACTAATTGAGGACACTTTTTTTACGTCTTCTTCTGGAGACGGGGACCGCCATTTTACGTAGCCTGTTCAGTTCTGCCGTTCCGGTAGTGGTAGCCTGCTGGCAAGCTCTCCATTTATTAGCGACTAAGCGACCCGCGAGAGAACGCGCGAGCGAGCTGAGAAACTTTCTTTCCCCGCCCCTCGCACTCACGTCTCCTTTCGCGTGTTGCGGTCGCGTGACTTCTCAAGACTCCCCTAAATGAAGGGCTTGCTCGCTGGCTACGGTAGTATAGCTTGCCTAGCATGGCGGTTTTGTCGGACGCACTACTGAGCAGCGAAGCCGCAAAAGCGCGCGCGAACGATCGGCACGTGGTCATCATGTGAGAGGTCTTGCCGGAGGTATCTTCTTTTCTCAGTTATTTTATAACCTTGAGCTCCACAATTTGTAAAGGAAAGCGCTATCTGAAACTGTCCATATTTAACAATTATTCCTCGAGCCCGAATGGACTGTGCGTCAATAGCCCATGAGGCCGAAGGCCGAATAGGCTATTGACTCAGAGGCCATAAGGGCGAGAGGAATAATTTTTTTTAGTAAAATCCAACTAGTTGGTCAAAAATATCGAGAATAAAAAGTGTTTAGCTAGTTAAAGCTAGGCTGTAATCCTTTTGCCGCCAAAAAGTCCGCGCTTTTCGCTACTAGGGAGCTATAACATATAGCCTAGTAGTAGCTCAACCAATCAGAACGCAGCACTGATAATAGACCACTAGCTGGATTTTAGTAATAATCCTTAATTATACAGTTCGTAAAAATTAAAGGAAAATAGCTTTGCTGACAATATCGGATTAACTAACAGCTATATAATTAGCAGAAAAAGCACTGTACTGAGCTAGGCCTGCTGCGGTTAAAGCATTTCAATTATTTGTACTTTGATTACTCGCTTTATGTTTATCTATAGGGACAACTTGGGTGCAGGAAATTGTTTGGCAAATCTACAACGAGGGAGCAATCAGCAGCGAAAAGCAAATACATCGATTCCCATTTCTAAAGGGTTGTGCCTGTAATAGTAACAAGTACATGCTAATTGATTTCAAAACACTGCCAAGTCCTCGCCTGATAAAGTCCCACCTTACCTACAACACTACTCCAAGAAGTGCAAATAAAGATGATCAGTGTAAATACATTTACGTTGCTCGCAACCCTAAAGATGTGGCAGTGTCATATTTTCATTTTACGGAGCACTGGAAAAAGTACGGCGTCCGCAATGGTTACAAACAATGGACCATGGGAATTTTACAGCAAGTTATTCATAGCGGGAAATGGTAGGTCTGTATTTTTTAGGCAACAAAGAGCATTTGTTTGATTGACAGATTAAGGGTACACCAGAACAGGGGAAAGAACAAAAACAAAAAACAAACTCAGCCCACCTACAGCGTTGACGCCTGACCATACATATTTGGGGGAGGCGAATGCTCTTAGCACTTTGCCATCATGCTTCCTAATGCACCTGTCGATGTAAAGCCAGCAGGGGAGGGGGGGGGATGAAGGGCATAGGGTGGGGATTTGACATTATTTAAAAGTTTGCCGTCAAATTTCCTGCCCACGGGCAAATTATTTTAATCAAATGCCCAAAAATGTCCCCACCCTGCTTCACATTGTTGCCTTTGACTTAAGCTATTTTCTGGTTTCTTGAAAAAGCAAAAGCTGACAACTTTTATTGACAATTTTAATGCGAAAGCAGTATCAAAACATCTTAATCACTTAAAGCATTGTAGTCATTTCAAAACTTAAGTATTAACCTTACACTGAGCCCAATCTAAACTATAGAGTATCCAACTAATGGCCCTGTCCCATAAGAATGTGATATCGTAGGGACAAAACATATCCCAGAATCCAAAACACGTCCCGGAATCCAAAAACACTTACCAGAACCCAAAACACTTACCAGAATCCAAACATACTTCCAAGAAACCAAACACACGTCCCAGAATCCAAAATACTTTTGGATTCTGGGACGTGTTTTTGAATTCTGGTACGTGTTTGGGAGTCTGGGAAGTGTTTTGGATTCTGGGAAGTGTTTTGTCCCTATAAGCCACGGTACTTACGAATCTCTTGGGCCCCTTGTTATCAAATTAATACGGAGTTTTAGCAACGACGACGGCGACGGCAACGAGAACGTCAAAACAGCAATAGGTTTCTTAGGAAAAACAACAACTTTGCACGCGCATCACGCTTTTTTGTACATTTCTTTGTCGTTACTGCACGACTACGACGTGAAAATGCCAAATTTCACGTTTCATGGGGGACGTAAACAAGCGACNGCAATAGGTTTCTTAGGAAAAACAACAACTTTGCACGCGCATCACGCTTTTTTGTACATTTCTTTGTCGTTACTGCACGACTACGACGTGAAAATGCCAAATTTCACGTTTCATGGGGGACGTAAACAAGCGACGACGAAATTTTCTTTCTCTTTTTAAACTTGAGTGCGGTCCCCATGCCAAGAAATCAACTCCAGGGAAATTAGCCTACATTAGACATTTTCAGCGAATTGGAATAAAGGCGACAAAGTTCGAAAAACGCTTATTCATTTTAAAAGTGACGTTTTCACTGCCGTCGCCGTCGTCTGTGCTAAAACTCCCTTATATCTCCAGATGCGGCAAGTTGACCGTTTCGGGTAAAGGGTATTAAATGTTGTCGACATCAGTTTTGATATATTAACTGTTAAATAGAAATAACCTAATGACGATATCTACCACTAAATAATACTTACAGTCTACCTAGCGATTCACTAGGCAACTTTTGTGAGATTACTAGGATGTTTTGTCGATGAGGGCCCAATCACATCCGAATACGTCCAAAGATTTTTTTAGTTCTCAGTTTCAGTGCTTCCCCTTTTAAAATCGCAGTTTTCGGGGAAAGTACAATCCTTGACATCATTCAAATGAAATCTTCTTTTCTCACTTTAGTTTTTTCACGTTAGTTTACATTATAGCAGAGCTCTCTAGCGCGCGAAAAACGCGCAGCGGAGCAACACGGGTAACAAAAAATGGTAACGTATGGATGAAAGAAATGTTAATGAGCACGTGACCATCCGTCCGCCGTCCCTACGTCCGCCCATGCATGTATGAAAGCCGGCATTTTCACATTCAAGCACCCGTGCGTTTTGGCAGTAAATCGCATGGACACCCGAACATTAAGAGAGAAAAAACAACAACAAAGCCGAGACTTTATTTTGACTGAATTTAATCTCTACACGGAGACGTAGATGACAGAGAAAGATCTAGAGCGAGAGATGAAAAACAAAGGAGACGAATTTCGTTGGAGGAACAACATTGAAATTTTATAGCGGCGGTTAGAAAATGAGAAATGTTAGCGGCTAGCAAGGTGAAAATGAGCGGTATTGGAAAAAGAAACGAGTTTTCGATACACAGGCGGTGGACCTCTTACCTGACGCGTGAAAGTTAACTGGTGCAAATAATGGATTACAAGGCCGTAATATGTTTCCCGACCGAAATGTCTGCCAGATATTTAATCCACCGACTATACATTTAATTATGGACAACTGTTTTTTCGACATCTAAATGTTATCGACATCTAAAAATCAACCTAGCGTGTGAGTGAGGCGTTTTTCGACGTTCTCGCTGCCGAGAAATCGTCATTTTGCACATTAAAAAGCTTGCGCAGTGGGTGTTAGTTTTAAAGATATAACGGGAATGATATTTGTTATCGGCAACAAGGTACAGTACTCCAGAGTGTGGAGTGCTTGCATTGGACATTTTCTTGTAGATAAAAGATAGTTGTCGACCACTAATACAATGTCTAGTCTATGGATACCCTAAGATATCTACGCAAGATATTATATTAATATCTCCCTTTCATTCATGTTTTTGTGATATTTAAAACGAGATTGCACGATTCGAAGTACTTTGCTTACAGTTTTTCCGTAATTTTTAGGCGCGAATTTTAAACCGTTCTTTTGTTGCGTGTAGAGGGTTGGAACCTTTGGAATGACCATGTTCTTGGCTGGTGGAAACACAGAGATGATCCCAATGTCTTGTTTCTGAAATATGAAGATTTGCACAAGGTAATGTTGCAGTTTCCCTTACAAACAGCTGAACTATGGCCTGTTACTGCNTAATATGTTTCCCGACCGAAATGTCTGCCAGATATTTAATCCACCGACTATACATTTAATTATGGACAACTGTTTTTTCGACATCTAAATGTTATCGACATCTAAAAATCAACCTAGCGTGTGAGTGAGGCGTTTTTCGACGTTCTCGCTGCCGAGAAATCGTCATTTTGCACATTAAAAAGCTTGCGCAGTGGGTGTTAGTTTTAAAGATATAACGGGAATGATATTTGTTATCGGCAACAAGGTACAGTACTCCAGAGTGTGGAGTGCTTGCATTGGACATTTTCTTGTAGATAAAAGATAGTTGTCGACCACTAATACAATGTCTAGTCTATGGATACCCTAAGATATCTACGCAAGATATTATATTAATATCTCCCTTTCATTCATGTTTTTGTGATATTTAAAACGAGATTGCACGATTCGAAGTACTTTGCTTACAGTTTTTCCGTAATTTTTAGGCGCGAATTTTAAACCGTTCTTTTGTTGCGTGTAGAGGGTTGGAACCTTTGGAATGACCATGTTCTTGGCTGGTGGAAACACAGAGATGATCCCAATGTCTTGTTTCTGAAATATGAAGATTTGCACAAGGTAATGTTGCAGTTTCCCTTACAAACAGCTGAACTATGGCCTGTTACTGCCGGCGTAGACGTTAGTCCAGAAGGCATGCCAGATATATATTTTTTGTCTCATACCCGTCACATTTACCTACTATTGCTCCTTTTTCCGGTCTTTGATGAAAGCTTATAAAAAGATAATCCTTCTTTTACACAATAAAAGCTTGAATCTTTAGATGTTATTTAATTTAGTCCAATGGTGGACTGATCATGAGTCGTTTATGGATTGTCTTCGAATCTATTCTAAAACAGTACAATTTACACTCCTCCTAGGATCTACCGTACAACGTACGAAGGATTGCAGATTTTCCGAACAAGCCACTGTCAGATGAACTCATAAATCGTATCGCAGAGCAGTGTTCATTCAAGGGAATGAAGCGGAATGAAATAAGTTATAAGTCTGAAAGCGAGGAAAAGACTTCGCCCTATCTAAGAAAGGGCGTGGTCGGAAGTTGGAAGAGTTACTTCTCTCCAGAGGTGAATGAGAGATTTGAAAAGGAAGTGTTGGGAAAAATAAAAGGAAGTGGATTAGAGTTTGATTATGAGGTATAATTAAAAAAGGGCACTCCACGAATAATAGGAACAATAAGATTTCTTATATATCAAAGGATTTCCCGCAAATCAAATACGCTTTAAGAGTTTTCTTCCCGCAGTCAAACAACAGACCTGTACAACGTTTTGACTTTAACAAAAACAAGGCGCGCATGTACTAAAGAAGACTACGAGTAGTCCCCTTTTTTCCCTCAGGGATAGTAGAGCGAGCGAAACGCGAGCGAGCGTGAAAATCACCCCACGCGAGAAAAGGCGACACGCGTGGCGAGATCTTCACGCCCGCTCGCGTTTCGCTCGCTCTACTATCCCTGAGGAAAAATAGGGGACTACTCGTAGTCTAGTACTAAAGCGACGTACTTAATTGGCGTAACTCAAACATACTCGTAAATTTTCATTTTGGAAAGTGATTCATTTTGGAAAGTGACCTTAGCCGCTAATAATGTTCAGTTGATTTTCCAGCTGCTGCATACTGTTTACTATCCACGTGTTCAAGAGCCGGGGGAAGAATTCTGGATAATTTGAACCCCTCTATGAAGAAGCGATCTGACACTGGTTGGTGGCTTGTAACAAACGCGAATTTACATGTATATGAAAATTTAATAAACTATCAAACTATTGTTTAATACTAAGTTTGTAGTTGCGTACTCTTTCTATCTCATCCGGAAGCCCTTGATATCCTAGTGACTGTTACGGAAAAGTTTCCTATAAAGTGACACTTGAAAAAAGTTCATTTTCTCGTTTTCAGTACTAGTCTTACGATACAATTTTGGACGGTCACGACGTTCCGGTAGGAAAACTCACAGGTCGCCGATATCTGTGAATTACTGTTTCTTTCTTTCTTTTTTTCACTGCATGAGTTTGCCTTTTTTGGGCTTTTTTCTTTCGAGGCAAGGAAAAATAATTCAGCGTAATTTTTGCTTTCTTTGGCCCCCGGGAGGAGCAATTGTTCATCTTTTGAAGCCTCCCAATGCAGTGGGATTGCAACTGACCGAGCCCACAACGAGCCATCAATCATCAATCAATTATGGCCACTAAAGCCTGACGACTCCATTCAGCGTTAACAGTAAAAACACTTGAATGGAGTCGAAATTATTGTTTCTTTAGCCTCTTTCGACGCCCGCCATGAGGCTCCACTTAAAAGTGATCTGAAAATGATAACACTTTGAAGTCTGGCCGATCTTGTAAAGGAGTTGCTTTAAAATCAAGAAACTCGACTTTTCAAAGTAGCGGTCTCACGCAAGACAGTGTGGGGAGCATCACGCTATATAGCGTGACAGGTTTTATTTCAGAGCAGCTCGTTTGCTACTGTTTGCGAAGCTGCTCACGCAACAATCTATCATGGCAAGTTTTCCTGTGATTCAAATAACAGAAGGCGAATGGACATCAGAAAAATTCTGGGATATTTTGGGTGTGAAAGTGCCAGAGTTTTTCACCAAAGATCCGGCTTTGCTAGCCGACTATATCTCCAACTTTGAGACGCGACCAGATGATGTTTTCGTGGTTACATATCCGAAGTCAGGTTTGTTCATCGTTATCGTTTTTTTGTATAGATCATGAACGGATTTTTTGGATAATATAAGGATCTACTACCACGAGAGTTTAGGTTGTTTTTATACACTTTGTTGGTTCATGGGCCGAAATTGGAGCTTTCTTTATTGACCCCCGATTTTTTGCCGGCGCTCTGCGAAAACCGAAATCCGAAGAGTCCAAATTTGTCGGCTCTTTAAAGAAAAATCCGAACTCCCCTGTTTAAAACACCGCCATCCTCAGGGGGTTGCGGATAAAAAATGAAATGTTCCCTGATTTTAGCCATGGTCTTAACATTTTATTCTAAATTCTTCAGTTCACGTACGGTTCCCTCGCCGCTGGCCCCCTGCCCGCCCCCGCACAACCTACACATAAAATGGGTCGGCTGTGTAAACCGTATCGGTTTCTCTGTTTAAGTAGATGGGGGAATAGCCTGCGAACAGCAAACGTATTTCCGGTCGTCGCTTTTCGGAGGGAGACAAGCGACGACCGGGAATACGTCTGCGCTTCGCAGGCCTGGGGGAAGGGATACTACTTCAAATTTATTGTGCACATGCATATGAATTCTGACTAATTATCAATCTTCATTATTTCAGGGACGACTTGGGTACAGGAAATCGTCTGGCAAATCTACAATGAAGGAGCTGTCAGCAGTGTCAAGCACGTATTCCGATTTCCATTTCTTGAACCCACTGCCACTCACGAAAAACTGGCTGAGCTCATTGATCTTAAAACAATGCCAAGTCCTCGCCTGATTAAGTCCCACCTTACCTACAGCACTACCCCGAGAAGTACAAATAAGGATGATCAGTGTAAATATATTTACGTTGCTCGCAACCCAAAGGATACAGCAGTGTCGCTTTTCCATTTCACGGAGCGATTGTCTAAAGAGACAGGCAGTGGTTACAATGGGCCATGGGAATTTTTTGCCAAGTTATTCATAGAGGGAAATGGTAAGTTTTCCTATGATTTAGGTAAAGAAATGTTATCACTTTTAAGGAAGTATACGCACCCCTAGTCAACCCCCTAGTCTCCTTCGCAGCCGTTATCAGGGTCGTCACGCAACGCTCCTCCCGGGAGGAGCGTTGCGTGACGACCCTAATAACGGCTGCGAAGGAGACTAACGTACCCCCGCGTATTACTCACCGTTGTGTTGTCACATAATCATTTGAAGAGTACATGTTATTGAAATCAAAGCGCACAAAATTATCAAATATTTGGAAAATTTCACAGGACCTGTAGCATTGATTATTAAAAAAACACACACTTTTAAAGCCAAGGTATATAGATCTTGAAGCAGCTATAGAATAGTTTAGTGCAAAAAACCTGTCATTAAATAAAAATGTTGAGCCAGCTGTTGAGTAGAGAGAAATTAGGAAAATGAAAAATGGGAAGAATCTTTTCCCCATCAGTAACCCCATAACTCAATCTCTGTTTTGTTCCCATTTTTCCCATTCCATGCTCGTTTTCTTAGGACGTCCACCACTTCTTGACAAAAAGATTGGTATAATAATAATAATAACAATAATAATAATAATGATAATACTACTACTACTACTACTACTACTACTAATAGTAACAATAATAATAATAATAATAATAAGTACTCTTTTATACTGCAAAAAATAGATTACTGAGTATAAAAAAACAGCTGGTATAAACCTATGTGCAGTAATAAAATACTTCAAGATTAAAAAAAAAACAAGAATTATAGTACATAGTAAAAAAAAGAAGAAAGACTGATATTTACAATAAAAAAGGTGTTAAAAAAATAAAATGAATTAAACTACAATCTACATTTATGCTTTGTTTTGCCTTGTTCTTGCAAATACTTAAGTGTTTTTCCCTTAAGAGATCCTAAAATAAGGCCATCAGCCCGTAATTCATTGGGTAAGTCGTTCCAATCCTTTGCTCCTGTGAATTTAAAGTAGACTGGCCTGTTACACCTCTTAAATTATGTAAATTAAGAAAGGAGGAAACTATCAAAAAGGGTGAACCGGGGCTGGCCTTGACTAGACTTAGAAATTAGAATGATTTCTTATTTCATACACAAGTTTGTGTTCTGATATCTCGTTATTTTTATTGCTAATTGTAGTCATCTATGACTTTTGGAAAGATCATGTTATTGACTGGTGGAAACATAAAGATGATCCTAATGTCTTGTTTCTCAAATATGAAGATCTACACAAGGTAATACTTAAAAATACTTTAACGACATTATAATAGTTCAAATTTCCTGCACAAGTCTCTGGCAAAATCAATTCCATTTAGTTACCCCAGAACTAGAGGTATAGACTTCAAAGAACTCAGTGTTGATGTATTACTATGAGCTGTTATTAATAAAGCAAATTTGGGGCACTGAAGACTTTTCGTTTATTCATTCATTAATTTATTTTGCCATTAACCACATAAAAAACACAAGAAATTTATAATATTTTTTAGATGTTAGACACTATCCTAAAAAAGTATTTTACACATGTTCATAGTGATAATGACAAGGAAGCCTGTAAGAAGCTAGGGGGCTTATGAACTATAGGCTTCCTGACACTTTAGGGTTTGAATTAAGGGTACTGAATGAAAAATGGATTATTTAAAAAAGCAAAGAAAAGAAAAAGTACCTGTATGTTGCTCAAAAATTTTAAAAAGAGTATATTTGACCAAGAAAGAAAGAATTTTTTAAGTCTTTTTCCAAACAAACCGATACTTTCACTGTTTTGGCTTTCAACTACCGTGATAAAAGGACATTAAAATCTAAAACGGTACTAAACACTTATTATTCTTAGGATCTACCATCCCATGTGCGAATTATTGCAAAATTCCTGAACAAGCCACTGTCAGATGAACTCATCAATCGTATTGCGGAGCAGTGTACATTGGAAGCGATGAAGAAAAATGAGATCAGTTACAAGATGAGGGATGAACAAGAGAGTTCGCCGTTGTTGCGGAAGGGCGTGGTGGGAGGATGGAAGAGTTATTTCACTCCAGAGCTGAATGAAAGATTTGAAAAGGAAGTGTTGGCAAAACTGGAAGAAACTGGATTAGAGTTTGATTTTGAAATATAGATCTAGAGGACAATAATTATATTAATTCATTCTACTTGTTTGATTATATGTAATCACATGAGCCCAAGGGCAGATAAGCATTAATTTCACAAACATTTTCAAAGTTACACAAAACTAACCTGTGTCATGAAGTCACGGGGGCAATTTGGAAAACTTTGAACATACAAGTGAAAATAATCCTGAATTGCACAAGGGCACATTGCTATTACAACCAAACCCCACTTTACAGACACCCGCTTTTAAGCAGGGTTCCTTTAAGTATCCTAAAATTTGGACACCTTGTTATTATGGATAGTTTTCTATGTCATTGTCCATAGGCAACGCTCTTACTTGTTCTCTAAATTCAAGGCACTTAATACAGACAAGATTGATTGATTGATTGATTGGGCAAGAAACAATTATTGTTTCTTGCCCAATCAACGCATTCTCATGGAAAGTCGACCTCCGTTAAATGCGATCCTTTATTTTCAAATGTGTGCTGTAAGGCATAAACCCCTCCTTTCTGTAGGTAAAAAAATGTACATGTATATCAGTTGAAATGTCAGTTGACAGCATGTCAATGTACACTGGATAGGATGAATTGTGAACAATTTTGATGTGGACAAAGTCAGTGGAATGATGGCTTTGTGAAGGTTAAAGATGTTTACTTTGATTATCCTAAGTAAATGTCCTTTTTTGTCTCTTTAATATTATTTTTGTCATAATAAAAGGTGTATTTTTTACTTTATACTACTACATGAAAAATTACTGCAATTTGATTGGCTTAGAGCAGTGGTATTTCAGCTTAATTTGAAATACCTACATGTGAAAATTACAAGCCTTTTGCAGGTAGTAGTATAAACAAATAATAGCATGATTTGTACGTGATATTTTGCATAAATACCACGAGTGATATTTCAAAATTGTCTCAAATTTCACTCGCCTAACGGCTCGTGAAATTACGTATAACAATTTTGAAATATCATTCGTGGTATTTATGCCAAATATCACTACAAATCATGCTATTACCTATACTTATACTACTACATGAGAAATTTCTGCAATTTGATTGGCTTAGAGCAGTGGTATTTCAGCTTAATTTGAAATACCTACATGTGAAAATTACAAACCTTTTGCGGGTTGTAGTATAAACAAATAATAGCATGATTGGTATGTGATATTTGGCATAAATACCACTCGTGATATTTCAAAGTTGTCTCAAATTTCACTCGCCTACCGGCTCGTGAAATTACGTATAACAATTTTGAAATATCACTCGTGGTATTTATGCCAAATATCACTACAAATCATGCTATTACCTAAACTAATTAAGTAAACACGACTTGCCTAATACAGACACCCTGTTGATGCAGATACTTTCTATGACCCCTTCACTGTTTTCATTAACCCTTTGAGCCCCAGGATCCACATACAAATTCTCCAAACTGATCTCTATACATCTCCATAAAGAATAAGTAGAGAGAATTTGATAAAAGATCAAGACATTTTCTCTTGTGTGATCATTTTATTAATTCTCATAACTTATCTCTTGACAATGTATGGATGTTGTTTGGAGAAATTTGATCTTTCGTCACTATTGGGGCTTAAAGGGGTGACAGGGTTTGACCGTACTTGTTTATCACATTCAGGGTAAAATTTTGTACAAAAGAAAACTTCCAAGGTCATGTTGTTGCATAAACTTCTAGTCCTTCATTGTCCATCTGCTACGGTGTTTGATAACATTTGTTTACTATAAGATTTTCACCATAACATGAAGACAGTACTTGAAGAAGGGAAGATTGGATGTATTCTACCTGGTATGCTGGAGTGTAATCATCATAAGATGACCTGAACAAAAAAAGGAAAAAACAAGTTTTGAATCCTATGCTGATCAAATCAATATTATTTATTCCATGACATGTGTAATAATCAAAGGCACTTCTTGTAGATGAATAAAGGAGCCTATTATATTCCTCTTAAAAATTCATTTCTACCTAAATTCCACATCTTTTCTTCCATCTTGTCCCAATAAAAATGTACCTCTCCATTCAAAACCTCCAAAACTTTCTTCTCCCTGTATTATGATTACATACAAGGTATGTCTGTGCCCTACCCACCCCTCCCCAGAGTTACCACAAAAGGAAAAGAAAACAGGACATTTGAATTTTTGAAGTTTGACTTGTCCAGGCTCCAGTTATTCAAACATTGGATAGTGCTATCCACCAGATAAATCGCTATCCAGTCCAGATAAGTATTAGCCTAAGGAAAATAAATTGTGTTATCCACCTTTTGAACAACTGGGCCCTGGTCCTAACCTCCCAAGCCAAAAATGGTGTTCAAATGCCCCTCCTATAGTCACAGGCCCCCCTGGGGCATACATGGTATCAAGAATGGTGAGAAATTCCTGAGGTTTGTTAGCCTGCGTAGCAAGCATTTCCAATCGAGTTATAGCACGAAAGTTAGAGCGAGAGCAAAAAAAATGGAAGGGGGGAGGGGAGGGGAGAAGAGGAAACGCTTGCCCGCAAACGCCACGATTCAGGAAAACTCCCCTTGATATTTCACGGTTCGGTTCATTTGTATATTGACAGCTCATCAAGATAGAAGCCTTTTTTTGCTCTCGTCCCAACTTTCTCAAAGAACTCATGCGGAAACACTTGCTACGCAGGCTAGAGGTTTGTTCAGGCAGGCATGTAGATGTGTGTATGCAGGCTAGAATACACTGTAGACCTTTGAAGGGCTGCATGGAAAAGGCCCTGAATTGGATGAGTCCTGATTTAATATCCAAATTCCCTTTTTGATTTGTGAGCGTTTCCGAGAGAAATTGGAAGGAGAATGTTGCAGTTTGTCAGTCAATTTGAGTTTTTCTCCAGGTACCCCTATCACTAGCCTGAGTCTGAGTTGGATGGTGATACAATGCTTGACAATCCAGAGTACCGATGTTTATTATTACCAACACATAAAAATAACTCAATAACAAACAACTTCAAGAACATACCTAGCTGCTGTGATTAAAGTAGGTTTTGGAACAGTCTTCAGTAATGTTGCCATGGAGACCATGAGACTATCAATCATTTCAGAGGAACTCACATGATGAGGTATTTCTGATGACATTCCTGAAGAGTGAAGCTAAGAGAGTAATGATCAGTATTTAGACTCAGATAATTATATGACTCTCTTACCTATTGTAATTAAGATAAACGTTACTGCCCTGTCTTAATCTCATGGTTGTTTCCTGTTAAAGAAAAATATTTCAAGATTGTTGTGTTCTTCAAAAGATTCTTGTGTTTTGAAAAGATTGTTGATAGTCAAAAATGTTTTTTTGTTACTCTGAATTACTTGTGCATAATATTAACTGAATTAAGACCTTTTTAGACTGTGCTATTAGAAACATTTAAAACTGATGCATGCTGCTTTTAGTACAGCTGGGGGCATGCATTTCCTACATTGAACTATCAGAGAACTTGCAAAGTAATTTATTATTTGATAATAATAAATGATAATTATTACTATCATTCAAAAACCAAAAGCACCCTTACTAAGAATTTACCATGTCGTAATCAAGCTTGCCACCCTTTTCCAGTTTTATTTTATCTGCAAGTTTCACAAGATCTTGGTTTAAGATAGAGGTATCAGACATTTTATCAGTGATACAAGATGAATGTTCTTGTAAATATTTATAAGTAGATTCAATCTGCTCCACTTGTACTTGGCGTACTTTTATGCATCTCTCCAAATCCTAGAAAGTCAATGAATACAATTATATTATTTTTTTATTACACTGTTACAGAAACCATAGAACTCCATATTATAGGTCAACTTTATAGGCCAATGCATTTCAAACAACATGTCTCAGACAACAAGGCTTTGAAACCAATCTGCTCCAGAAATCATTTACTAAATTCTTCAATCACCATGGTCTTATCGTCAAGAAGTATGGTGCGGCCCTGCAGGACATGGGATTAGCAATCCAGGCTTGAATTGCACCATCATATCCTTACATAACTTATTTATTACTTATAGATTTGTATTTCAGTTGTATCTTGTGCACAGTTTTATTTGTGCGCATGGATTATTTATTTATTTTATAATTGATGCGTACATTAATTTTAGTTCGTCAAATACCGTCTTAATTTTACTTTGCATTATTTTCCTCACTTATATGTGTTGTCTGTGACTGTGCTCACATTGTGGGTGGCTCCTCCTAAAATGTTCTGCAATTGGTATAGGATTTAATGGGGCCAAAACCAATTTTGGAATTGCACACATTTTAGGCACCTTTATAATACTGATGAACAGTTATGACACATAGATATATTTTTTAGCAGCTAGTATAATTTGCAGTCTGTCCACTTTGAATAATGATTGTACTAGTACCTCATTGTTCGTTGATGAAGGTTCCTCAAATCTGTAAATATCTCTTAAGGACTTAAAGTCATCCTACAAAAAAGCATTATAGCTGTAACATGTTTACTGACAGAAAAATTTCTAATAAAATTTCTAATAATATTCGCCCTAGCGATATCCAACAAATTAAAAGTGATCAATTTCTTAAATTTCAAAAATCTTTTAAATGGTAAACCCTTTTGAGTGAGTTTTTGCTCTTCTACAAAAAAGATGTTTAAAGGAACGTGAAGTTTGGCAGAAGGTTTTTCCAAACAAAATTTTGTCACACAAGGTTTGCCGTCATCTTTCCTCTCCTGTCCTGTTGTGTAAGTTCACTATCGTCTGTGTAATGAATTGTGTAATTTATAATATCAATAATAGATAGGATAATTATAGAAATTCATAATAACATTGGTGACAAAGATTGCCAACAGACCAGAGGTAACTACTTTCATGTCTTTGCTAGTGGTAAGCCTCATATAAAATGTAGAGATCCTTTAGTCTTATCATATCCCACTTTCTTGACAAGGATGGTATGGCTACACGAAAAGCCAAAAGGACACCTGTGTAGGGAACTACTATAACAAATTTACTGCAAATCATACCTTAACTTACCTCTGTATACAATAGTTTAAATGGATTCTGTGTTGAAAAGTAGTCCATGTCTATATCCAGAATTAAACTATTTTCTTGTAAAATTATGTTTGCAAAAATGTTACAAACATCAGCCATTGTTCCTTCTCCATCCATACTTTGGCCCTTCTCTTTGCGTGGATGATTTAATTCAACTCCTTTTGTATTTGCAATAAAAGAGCTGTCCTGTGCAGAGCATTCAATCTCATATTTTCCCTTTTTCGTTACTTTATCACTGTTGTGTTCTTGGAATGCATTTGGCCCCTCTTCGAATGGTTTTTGTCCACAATCAACAGCTTTTGCTCCCCTCTCTCCCAAAATGGAATTAGCTGAATTTAAAGCGAACTTTGTCTTGCACCCCTCAACTTGATTAGATTGATCATTTCCACTTTGCTTACTCTTCTCATGCAATTCTGAGGTTTCACTTTCTGTGTTCTGAGCATCTGATTGAACTGTATTGTCTTTGTTTTGCATCAATCCATGTTTTACAGTGCACACAACAAGCTCAAGAGCTTTGCAATTGTCTAACGACTCCTCGTCAGCATAAAGAAGTTCTTCCACAAAATATACTTCTGAGCATGTCACTCTAAAAGGATAGTATAATATATTAATAATCAGCTTCAAGAGTCCTGTAGCCTTTAAGTTGATGAAACTATCAATATTAGGCAGGAAGAAAAACTACTACTCCAACTGTCCCACCATCCCATGGTTGATGAAGAAGAATCATGTGCAGTTTGGCTTGATTTTTCAGTGCTTTTGTTACTTAACATAAATTTGAGACTGTGCATGAGACTACAGGAGCAGCTTTTTTTAGATGTATCTGAAGTGGCCAGTTTTTATGATGTTTACAGCCTTCTGGAATCCTCCTTCTAGAATCCTCATTTTTCAAGTATTATGATGTCTAAATGCTTCAATTAACAGACAAGGCATAATTATATACTATTATAATAAGTGACCCTGTATTCTGTAATTTGGTCGTCCTTACCTCCGGGGGTTACTTTCGGAATTCTTGGGTGCTGGGACCCTGGAACCCTTACCCTATACAAGAGCTAGTTCAGCTGAATATTGCTACCCTAGACTGAACTCCCCAAATCTCCCCTTTCCCCGGGCCCCCCCTCCCCTGCTTCCTAGGCTAGCTTTTAGGCTGAGTTGAGTACACTTAAACTTGCCGATTTGATTTTGAGTGGTAATTCCCTTTTTTCCTAGTCTAGACTAAAATCTTCAACCAACTGATCAGTTTCCTGGAAAATGATACCCTATTCTAGACTCAGACTCTCTGATTTATATACCCTATTGTTGGTTTTCACATGATGTCACTAAAATTCAAGCTACGAGACTATCGATCCTACTGAGATTTTACTTTTGTGATATATTAGAGCAGCTGAAAACTAATTTTCATACAAATTTTCGCTTCAAAAGAGTTCTTGGTTTTGTGATAGAGAATGCTTGGATTCATAAGCTTTTGTGTGACGTGGCATTTACATGACGGCCGAGAGAGCTGTCATGTAGGTTAAAAACCTGACGTTCGGGGGAATTATTCTATCTTAACAGTTCATGTATTAGAAAAAGTATTACTTTAATGTTTATGAGTTCCTCGAGGAATAAATTCACACTTTTGTACCAAAACTCGGGAACAGATGTTTCTGGTTTTTTTTCGTCTGCTATGTTGGTGCCCATCCAGGTGGGCACCAGCATGGGGTCTCCATACAAATCTCTATAAATTTGGGTAAAACATTTCTTCGGATATCTCGTATAAAGAATATTCTTCTGACCTGAATCTTGGCGAGGGTCTTTGTATATTTACCTCCTTTTATTCCCAGATTCCAGACTTCATCTACTGAACGGTTTTGATTTTTATTTTGATCTATTTTAAATAGCGTGACACTGAAAACCAGCAATCCCAGAGCAAACTGCTTGAAAACCATACCCTTCACAGTGACACGTACCCATATAGCCCATATATTGCAGTACCCCCCGGGCCTTATCTCTGATTTAGGGGGCCGTTAACACGGTTTACCAGTTGTACCTTATAAAACCCGTCTTCTTGTGTTTACCAACTTTGAAGTTGAACACTCCTTCCTTAATCTGATCCGCCCAGGGTGGTTTTACCCAAATTACTCGACTCACATGTCCAGCATATACAGCGGGAAGAATCCAGTCTGCAATGCTGATCTCTTCATACAGCTTTTCTTGCTCGAAAACTGTGTCGGCTGTCATCTTTACTGGAACAGTGAGATCCGGGTGAGAGTCAAAATGGAGAACCGTTATTCCTTCATATGCAAGATGCCGCGATCCAATAGCTCTGTGAATATAGTATAGCACTTCATCGTGATTCTCGCATATCCAAATTGGCAATTTAGTGTACTTTCTGAGAGCTAATTTAGCTCTCTTTGGCTGCTGGTGAAAATCTCCACTTTCGTCCGCCATTTTTAGATTAACCGGCCTCATAGGCACGGCTACCAAGTACCCAGTGTAAGACACCTTGTCCAGCATACATGACGTAGACGTAACGTTTTTCTTATATGAGGAGGGGATGAGTTTGCGTTTAGGATTCGGTAAATTGTTAAATGTTGGGATTCACATCCTTCCATCAATCACTTCGAAGGACTTACAGTTCTGCATTATTCCTCAAAGGATATTGAGCGCACAAATAGCACGAAATTACAGTGACAGGTTTTCTATTGCGCCGAAAAAGAAAAAGAACAGGTCAGTATGAAGGTCCGAGGAGGGTGGCGGTGGTGGGGTGGTGCAGGTACTTGCATGGAGATAGGGTACCCCAGGTAAGGGAGGTACCCCGCTTAGGTGGGTTAACCTACCTGTACATGTCCATATAATCTCTCATTTTAATTCTGTGGGGTGGCGCGTCAAGGTGGGTTGCCCGATCTGCTAGACCGGGAAATGGAAATCCTCTCAGCTGGGTTCAAATTTTGCCATGTTAATACTATATTTTGACAAGGCGATCTACTTAGCCGGGGTCAGGTTCATGTCCCATCAAATATGTAACAAATTCAACTGACTGCCTTTGGTGGAGGCTTTATGTCATTAAAAGTGACATCAGAAAGCCACAAGCACGGAAAGGTTGCGGAGCAGACGTCGTTTAATCCCCCCCCCCTTGCTTTTTTTGTCAACATACTTAGAAACCACTCAATATAGATCTTGCAGAAATTAAAATTTAATGCAATAGCCAAACAATATTAAAATTATACCCTCCAGACTTTTTCAGTTAATTGCCAGATTTTGAATTGGTGACTTCAGAGGATGGTATGGGGTGACAGCTGGGAGTTACGATGGAATGGCAGTTTGGGATAGGGTTAAATGGCCTGGGTGATTGATAAATATAGATTTGTACTGTTAGTTAATAAAACGTGGATTACATCTTTTTTAAACAGGCAAAAGAACTCTTAAACTTGCTACTAATTGCAATATTTTAAATTTCAGAAAGACCACAGGCAACAGAAATAAAGTAAGTAGAGGAATACTGAATTTTTCGTAGAGGTGGGCTACAACAGCAAAAGTAACTGGCCATAGAGGCTTTTTTATGCATTTGAGAGTTTGCTTTGGGCAGAGTAATCTCTATATCTTTGACGCCCATTTTTTTTTAATTGTGGGGACATTTTATAGTAAATTTATGTCTGTGTCTGTTATGTCTGTTTCAGTTATTTGTTTTGTTGCAGCGTTCACTAAGACAGTCACAAGTCTTTCAACTAGATCCCTTGAGAGGAAAAGATGTCTCTGAGATCCTTGACAGCGGCAGACAACAAGCTATCTCTGGTGCAATTCTTCGGGGCATTACTGACATTCTTAATGGTCCTGAACTGGATTCCAGCCTGAGGGATTGGCAACTAGAGATAACAAGGGTAAGTTAATAATTTATTGACATATGTACCCAATTTGTTTCCAGGAAGAAAGACTCTGTCAAGCAAGACAAAAATCGGAAATGTTCTTTTTAATATCTTGCTAGAAACAAAGTAGACCTTTCCCGTACACCTTTGAACAAAGCAACAACATGAGGCTCCAGTTGATGAAATACAAAGTACATTGTTTTGTATGAAAGTGCCCACCCAGTCCTTGACCTTATTAAGTACGGTATGTGTTCCCACTGAACTGGAATTCAGGGACTACTTTGGTCTACAACATTAAAAATTGTCAAACATTTACAAGTGTCATTGTCAAAGAAGTGCATAAGGCTGTCACCTGCAAAATTATACAGTTGGCTTTTAAGGCAAACATTTCTCTGCAAAATGGTATATATGTAGTTGCCGCCTAGATTTTGAAAGCTGAAAAAAACTGAAAAGAGAAGAAAGTGTGATCAATAGGATAGGCACAAGGCAAAAGGACAAAGTGGGGATGGGTAGCCTGCAGTGCAGCCAGCCCACACACTCGTCTTATAAACCAAAGTTTAGAGTGTCTGTGACACAGGCAAGGGATAGGGAGGGGAAGAAAAAAATCAAATCAATGATAACAATACTTCCATCTATTTTCTGGCTTGTCTTTCCTGACCGTGCCTGCTTGAATCCCTATCTTGTGACTCTTGAATCCTAGTGTGGCCTGTGCTCCTGCTACCGCAGGCTTTATTAAGTAGGGTGTTTTAACGTCGACGACGGCTACGGCAGTGAAAACGTCACTTTTAAAATTAATTAGTGTTTTTCAAACTTCATCACATTTATTCCAATTCACTGAAAATATCTAATGTAGGCAACTTTCCCTGGAGATGATTTCTTGGGGACCACATTTAAGTTTAGAAAGAGAAAGAAATTTTGTCGCTTGTTTACTTCCTCCACAAGATGTGAAATTAGGCATTTTCATGTCGTAGTCATGCCGCAATGGCAAAGAAATGTACAAAAAAGCGTGATGCATGTGCAAACTTGTTTTTTTGCTTAATAAACCTATTGCTGTTTTGAAGTTCTTGTTGCCGTCGCTGTCGTTGTTGCTAAAACTCCCTGGTGAGAGTGCTATTTTGTTAACTAAATTGTTAATTCTTTCCTTTTCAAGGTGAGAGTGACCCCAGATCTTGGGTATGCAACAATATACTGGGCAGTTTCAGGTGAATCAAAAGGTGATGTTGAAACTGTTCAAAGCCTTTTGGATGAGAACACAAATTACATAAGGTATGTATTTTTACCCCAAAGCTTTGAAAATCGAGGGATTTTAATGAAATTTGCATTAATCTCATTACTCTCCTAGCTTCATGGCAATACCTCACATTGGAGAAAGTCCATGTGTTGAGCAAAGCTTCATGTTTTATAAGAAAACATCCTCATAACATACTATGGTTATTTTGAGCCTTCAAAATAATTGTCACCTTGCTCCCACACTGTCATAGAAATACTTTGGTCTCACTTTTCACCTTGCCTCTTGTGAGGTGAACTTTAATGTAGCCTGTGAATAACAGGCATTCAGATAGTAGGGATGGTACATGCAAAGAGAAGTGCTGCACTCCACTTAACTCCTAGAAAAGGCTTGAACAGGCATTATTTCTGCCTTCCTCAGGCAAGCAAAGGCAAGGGTGAAGAGAGCAATGAGCACTTTGTTTTGATTGTTGTTCACCCAAAAAAATGCAAAAAATAGCACCTGTTCTGCAGACTTACTCTGTGTGATAAGGCAGACGATTCATTGTCTTTTTGAACAAAAGATAACCTCAATTTGTACAACTATGTTTGTTTTTAGGAGGCTGCTTCCTGCTTACTCTTCCTTAGCCCGCTTTCCCCAGCTCATTTTCACTAAAGACAACAGTGCAGAGTATAAAGCAGAAATGGAGCA